CACTCTTGTGGGACACTCTTGTGGGACACTCTTGTAGGAAACTCTTGTGGGACACTCTTGTAGGACACTCTTGTGGGACACTCTTGTGGGACACTCTTGTGTGACACACTTGTAGGAAACTTTTGTGGGATACTCTTGTAGGGCACTCTTGTGGGACACTCTTGTAGGACACTGTTGTGGGACACTCTTGTGGGACACTCTTGTGTGACTTGTAGGAAACTCTTGTGGGACACTCTTGTAGGGCAATCTTGTGGAACACTCTTACAGGACACTCTTGTGGAACACTCTTACGGGACACTCTTGTAGGACACTCTTGTGGGACACTCTTGTAGGACACTCTTGCGGGACACTCTTGTAGGACACTCTTGTAAGACACTCTTGCGGGACACTCTTAAGGGACACTCTTGTGAGACACTCTTGTGGGACGCAGTTGCGGCACACTCTCGTGGGACACTCTTGTGGGACACTCTTGTGGGACACTCTTGTAGGAAACTCTTGTGGGATACTCTTGTAGGACACTCTTGTGGGACACTCTTGTAGGACACTCTTGCGGGACACTCTTGTGGGACACTCTATCTGGGACACTCTCGTAGGACACTCTTGTGGGAAGCTCTTGCGGGGCACTCTTTTGGGACACTCTTGATACCACAAATCATCCTGCCCACCAGCGACACGCCGCGTTTACGCCAGCGTGTTTCGCGCCCTAGTGGCACGGCGCCTCGCAAACGCACTTTCCACCAAGGCCACGCAAATCCCAATGGCACTGCGACATCACGAACGTCGCGTCGCCACACGGTCTGCCCAGACACTAGAAGCAAACATGTCACATGATACCACGAAGCATCCCGCTCACCAGCAACACGCCGCGTTTACGCCACCCTGTTTCGCGCTCCCCAGTGGCACGGCGCCACGCACACTTCCCACCCTGGCCGCGCAAATCCCAATGGCACTGCAACATCACGAACGTCGTGTCGCCACACGGTCTGCCAACACACTTGAAGCAAACATATCACATGATACCACAAATCATCCCGCTCACCAGCGACACGCCGCGTTTACGCCAGCGTGTTTCGCGCTCCAGTGGCACGGCGCCACGCAACAGCACTTTCCACCAAGGCTGCGCAAATCCCAATGGCACTGCGACATCGTCGCGTCGCCACACGGTCTAGCCAGACACTAGAATCTAGAAGCAAATATGTCACATGATACCACAAATCATCCCGCTCGCCAGCGACACGCCGCGTTTACGCCAGCCTGTTTCGCGCTCCCCAGTGGCACGGCGCCACGCAAACGCACTCTCCACCAAGGCCGCGCAAATCCCAATGGCACTGCGACATCGGGAACGTCGCGTCGCCAGACGGTCTGCCCACACATTTGAAGCAAACACGTCACACGATACCACAAAGCATCCCGCTCACCAGCAACACGCCGCGTTTACGCCACCCTGTTTCGTGCTCCCCAGTGGCACGGCGCCACGCAAACGCACTTTCCACCAAGGCCACGCAAATCCCAATGGCACTGCAACATCACGAACGTCGTGTCGCCACACGGTCTGCCCACACACTAGAAGCAGTCATGCGAGCGCTTCGTACGAGACTTCCTCCAAAAGTCACGCTTCGAGGCTGCAAGACGAGCGTTTCGTACGAGACTTCCTCCAAAAGGCACGCGTCAAGTCTCCAAAACGAGCGTTTCGCACGAGACTTCCTCCAAAAGTCACACGTCCAGTCTCCAAAACGAGCGTTTCGTACGAGACTTCCTCCAAAAGTCACATGTCAAGTCTCCAAAACGAGCGTTTCGTACGAGACTTCCTCAAAAACTCACACGTCAAAGTCTGTAAAAGGAGCGTTTCGTACAAGACTTCCTCCAAATGTCAAGCGCAAACACCGATCGGAGCACACACATCACGCAGCCCTGCCAAGCAGTTTCGCGATTCCAGCCCCTCCAAACAACACCCGCTCACACGCCAATCCCAATGTGACAGCGATATTCACCTCTACCACAGCTCACAACCTCACGATTTCCTGCGCCTGCCACACCTCTTTCCGCGTCCACACGCGTACAAAGTACTGCGCCTGCCACGAAATGTGATCTCCGTCACACCTTGCAACCTCACGATTCCCTGCGCCCGCCACGAAAATCGCACTTCCACATCTCAAAACACGCACAAAGTACTGCGCCTGCCACGAAAAGTGACAATATCATCTCATGTGAGCTTCAACAAAATTTGCACCACACCACACGTTTGGAATGACTTCGACCCGTTCTGAGCACACTCCCATCCACCAAAATCGCCATTTCAGCTGAGACTTGTCACGAAAACAGAGCTTCGATGCCACACCCTGAAACGCAAATCCTAATGGCACGGCCACGTCCAACACCCCAAAAACATGACTCTCCAAACGCTAATCCCAATGGAACTGCGCAGCAAACTGCGGATCTCACAAAACGCTGCGCCTGCGCAGTGAAATCATCCTCCACACTTCAATCCTCGCTATTTCACACGAATCTGACACGTCACGTTGTCATCCCAAACCCTCTGCAAAAGCTTTCCCCAATGGCAGCGCCTCAGCGCTCTACTGCGGACGGTTGCGAACGGTTGCGGACGGTTGCGAACGGTTCTACCCCCAGACCCCCAGATTAAACGAGAACCCTTCGCTACGCATTCGGGAAAACTTGGGATGTTGCGTGCATAGTTGTTTCATGTTGCTTCTCTACTACTACTACAGAAGTCTACATCTTGGACCTTGGATCGCCTCCGAAAACACTACACACATCTAACAGTGGCACAGCGGCCAACTCCGGCTTGCGGGTCCTCAATCGCTTTCTTGGGCAGCTGCACTGAAGGAAAGGCATACATGGCTCCTGGAGCGGCACAGTGATCCTCTGTGGAGAAACGGGCATGGGCCCATGCTCACTGTGCCCTGACATGTTTCTCTGCCTCTCTGTAGATGTTGGACTGGAGGGAGCTGTGTTTTCTCTGCCACCTTTTCTGATTGCTTTCCAGCTCTTCAGAGTCAGCTGTTGATTTCAAGCGAATTTCCCTCTCGTCACCCAAATTGTGAGAGTTGAGTTAAGAGAGCCGTTTGTTTTTGGCTTTAAGGCTGAGGTCAGATACCAGCTTAATATGAGTAGCTACTACGTACTTAGGACGCAGAAGAGCTCAGACCTCTTCAAGGGAGCTGCCCCCACCGCTGGGAGGGAGTCCGCTTCCTTGAAGAAGCAAGCCTGAGCCTTAATGATTTGGTTCCTAGATGTTTGATGATTTTTGGAGGAAACTGAACTTCCCGCCTGACATCTACACCAGTCTGTGGCCCAGTCCGCAGACGGGCCAGGGGGGACGCAAGGACGCAAGGTCACGGCGCGTCCGTCCGCCCCCCCGGCTCCATCAATGGGCTGGCTGCTGATGCCGGGGACCTTGTTCAGCGCCTCCGTCATGCGCAAGGCACGCCTCGTTTCCGGCGACCAGGGATCCATAAATCGCATGGGTTAGCCTGGGGCTAGCTGCATGGGCTAGCTTGCATGAGGCGTGCACCATGATCATCATGAGGATGCGGTCAAAGTTGCGGAATAGGATTTGGTTCATGAGGCAACCCGGGAAGCAGAAAGAAAGAGGAACAACAGTCGATCTCCGCCTAAAGAAGGAAAGACCTTCGACATCCTTCACCCATCTCCATCTCCCTTTCTCGCACCCCCTTCGGATCACCTCGTGAGGCCTTGGAATATCGCGGAGGTCTCCTTCTCGAAGAGCTCATGGGAGGGATCTCCTGTGCACGATTTCGGTGAAGTCATGGGTTTGGAGGCGCTTTCTGCACCAAAAACGAGGGTGGCACAAAACTCTATTAATCAAGCCCAGCTCGAGCCCCCAATACTAAATTGAGTTAAAACCTAAATTTCCACCTTGACATCCCCCATTTTGTTTATACTTTCTTACTGGCCAGAAACCTCCCCCTATTAATCAAGCGCGGACATCTTACAAGATTGGGTACTGCTGAAACCATCCTCATACGAACGGAATTTGTTTTCACCAGGGTCCCGAGATGGCTAGGTAATAGGTGGGTGCATTGCAAGACGCGGATCTTACATTGTGATTGCGGATCCAGGGTGAAATTCATGAGTCATACTCAGTTGTTCATGCCGATGAGTTCCAAACACTCTGCTTGCCCACTCCCCAAAAAACCACACCCGCGCCAAACAGTTTGTCGCACCTGGCTTGGGTGGGTTCACCATGAGCCCGACAAAGATCTGGCAAGGAAAACCAAGCAAAATGGAGAGGAAAATCATTGGATGCTCTCATGAGGGTCAGATGAGGGTCACCAGTATATTATTGAAGGATGTTCTGATGACTTGCATAGACGGTTTGCAAATGCGAGTAAACTTTGTGGGTGCTGCCAATGCACACCAAAATCAAACACCTACCTAAACATGGTCAACTACAGTAAATCCACATGACCTCCAAAGGGTATCGCTACTAGGAGCAGGGACGCTACTAGTAGCTCTTGGCCTTAATACTAGTACTGTAACAAGAAGCTACTAGTAGCAAAGGGCACTCCAGCGGAATGCGCAAACAAAGCGACACGGAAAGCCCTGAGCACCTGCCCCAAGGTGTTGGAGGAAAGGCTGGTGGCAGCCATCTTCGTGAACTGTGTGAGCACCTGGTCCGAGAAGCCTGACACCATTGAGAAGCCGAGTCGCCTTGGGTCAATTGGTAGATTTGGCAAAATTCACTTTTGAATACTTTTGAAATCGAGCAGTCAATGCATGCACTTAAAAATGTGGACAACACGGCACACGGCACACGCTCCGTGGTTGAGATCTACAGTAAGTCTATGTACATCTGCTGTCACAGCTAAAGACCCGGTCGATCTTCGACCAGCGTCCGGCCGGTTGAACACACAGGTTCTCAGAATCTGCAGTCCTCGAAAAACTCTCCGCAACTGTGAAGCTCTTACGAACGTGTGAACCCCTTGCATAGATCAGCATACAGTAACCGATGCTCTTTTTCAACTTTGACAGGATTTGCAATCTTTAAACAAACACAAACAAACCATGTCCTACGTTTTGCAACCTCACTCGTTGGTGGAGCATGGCATTGTTCAAAAATACCGCAGGGACCCACCCCGCATCGCCCTCTCCTCCATCTTCACCCCAGCAAGGCGTCGGCGTTGTTCTGCAGCTCTTTGGCTGCCTTTGACATACTCTTTGGCAGTCCTCGGACAGTGACGACCATGTCTGTGATGCCTCGGGCTCAAAAAGCCAAGGGGGTTCCACCTTTCTCCCAGGTTCCGGTGACCATCAATCTTTTCTTCCAATGGTCTAGAGCAAGGTCCAGTGGTCCTTGGCAAGAAAAGATAGTTGTTGGAGAACTCCAACTTCCAGCTAGTGTTGGGCATGTTCCTCAAGGTCATCATGGTCGATGCACATCCGCCCCTCGGATTGAGCGCGTCCCCGTGGACCCGCGTGTCCTCAATGCTTCAATATACCCCGTCTGTGCTGACAGGTCGGTCCCCTGGGCGGCCGTGGGTCAAACCATCTCATTGCCAACTGTGCAGGAAACCCTTTGCAATCTTTGCAGGTGTATTAGCTGTTGTAGCTTCACATTTAAGTGGTGAGTGGTGCCTATCGTCCCTCCCCAAATGATCCGGATTGACCCGCAAGAGTGGAGAAACCAACCTTCCTTCAGTGCTAGGACTTATCGGGAAAAGCAGCGATGCACAACTTTTCTCTGCCAAGTATCCACATCGAACTATCCATCGTCTTTGGAGCAGCTACAGCAATTATTACATAGGACTTGAGGCCAGAGCACAGAAACCCTCCATCACACACACCTCTCTCCTTCATTCACTTGGTTGCACTCGCCCCCTTCCCACCATGCCCAACAACATGCCCCTTGCCTTGCTTCCCCTCGCTCTACCTTTGCCCTCCTCGCCTCAGGGGCCAGGTGTTGAATCTGCTCCCAGTTCGTCAGGAGTCGCTCCGTCTTCACCCCAAGCATCACCAGCTCCTTAAGCATCGCGACATCCTCCGCGAACCTCGCAGTGACAACCGCAGAAGACGGGCGGCCAAAGAAAAAAGGGTTCGCAACGGCTCGCGAGCGTGATGCTTTGGGTGGGACCAATGAACAAGCAAGAACCGACAAGTACCAAATGATGCTCAAACTCGCTGTTGAAACCCCAACATCAGCACTGGAATCAGCTGTTCTGCAGCAGAGTCAACAGCTCCTGGTATGGTGAAGGAAATTGGAACGAGTGATTCCAACTGGAAAGAGATGCATTGTTGCCTTGGTGGTTAACATCTTGGCAGCCTGGCCTTTGAAAGCCCCAAAAGTTCTAGTCAACTCCGAACAGTCAATCGGAACAACCTCATGGCATCTTTTGCCTTTTGGACCCCAAAAGTCTGTGGATCCCTGAAAACTTCAACCTTTGGACACTTTACGGTTTCGAGCTCTTCGACCTCTTCGCTGGCTGCCGGTCGTATGTAGCTACCAAGCCGCAAGGCACAGCACTCAAGTGGAGTGACCTGGGAGAGGCCCTTGGTGCATGGCATTGATATTTGAGGAGATTGGAGTGATTGGAGTCTAGAGGTATCCATTATACAAAGATGAGATGCATTGCATGCAAATGGGGCAACGACGCTTAGCGTGCATGTAATACATTGAAATTTCATTGAACCTCCTGTTTTTCAGGGACTGCAAAAAAAATTGAGTGATTTTGCCCTCGCATGCTGTATGCATACTGCATACTCTCTGAGGAACTTCGTTGAACCAAGGAGTATCTTGCGGCCTACTCAACTCTACTCGGTTTGCCCCTGGTCCTTGGTGAAACCGAAATCTCCGAGCCTGGTGAACGTCAGCTTGCTCCAGGTCTGCCTGTCAACTTGTGCGCGCGTGAGGGCACAGTGTCCAAGAGTTCCGGCCCTACGACCGCATACATTGCCATGAAAACATCCCCACGTACATCGAAGTGATATAAAAAACAACAATCACCAACCTTATCACCTGGTCGCCTCATCCACATCATACCCATTTTTCCCGAACACCCTCCGTGCCTCTGCTTGGTGTAGAAGTTTCAACATCTCACAACCCTGGCCCCAGCGACAGCAAAGCCACAGCGGCGACTGCATTTCTCGCTGGGACACATTCACCGCCGCACGCGCCTGGTCAGGTCGAGCTGCCTAGTGAGGTGGTTCAAGAACCGCATCAATACATATGTTCGACAAGGATCCAAAAGGACAAAAGAATAGGATCAGCAAAAACATTGCCCAGTGAGTTGAAAGAAAAAAGAGACTAGAAAAAGGACAACAGCACCACAGCGACAAGAGGATCAGGCAGTCCCCCCGCAGAGAAAAAAACACAAAATGCACCGACAAAGCATACAATTTACACCAGCATAGACCCAGATAGCTAGGCAGAATCCCACGACCTGTTGACATGCAACTGGCTGGAACAAGAATGTACGCAGCCTGCACGGCCAGCTTACGGCACCTCCACAGCGCGCACAACCAGCTGACACCAGCACCGGTGCGCTTTGCCAGCTGACAACACCGGCAGCCGCACCAGCACCCGACCAGCGCCGCCGCGCCGCCGCCCGCCTTAAACGCGCGCTCAGCCAGCTCACAGCACCAGCACCCAGGACCACAACACCAGCACCAGCACCGACACCCTTTCGAAAGCGCGCGCAGCCAGCTCATTCTTATTTGCAGTAAGAACCCCATAGCTGTCTCTATTTGGGGAAGAACAACGTATGATCTTGCACGTAAAGTTTATGCGCGCAAAAGCACGCGCGCAAACAGCAAAGCCCGTAAGTGTCATTGGCCCAAGGCCAGGCAGTATCCAGCGCCACTATTGATCTTGTAGCACGCTTGAAGCAACGATCTGTAGAACGATAAGGCAGTATGATCTTGCACGTATAAGTTTACGCGCACAAACGGCAAAGCCCGTAGGCTTCACTCGCCCCAGGCCAAGCAGTATCCAGCACGACTATTGCGTGTGTAGCATGCTGAAACACGCTGAAGCAATGGTCGGTTGAGAACCTGACATTTTACGGAACGTACAAAAGTATGCGCGCAAACAGTACAGCCCTTGACACAGCTGTCGGCCGAAACAGAGCCTGAAGAGCGCAAATACCCACAGTGGACAAAGAACGCTCAAGCGAGAACACCGTATGCTTCACTGTCAGAAGCGGCGGTTGGTCTCCCTTCATTGCTACCCTTCACTGTCAGAAGCGGCGGTTGTTATCACTTCACTGTCAGAAGCGGGCACCAGCACCGAGCACCGGCACGCCAGCTCACGGCACCCAGCACCAGCACCCAGCACCGGTAGCCAGCACCCAGCACCAGTGCCCGGCACCCAGTCTCGGCACCCTGTCTCCACCACGTGCACAGCCAACTCCACCATGTGCACACCCAGCTCACAGCACCAGCACCGGCACCCAGCACCCAGCACCCAGTACGGGCACCCTGTCTCCACCATGACGCAATCATGGGAGAACTACCAAGTAGATCCAAGTAAAACACAGCTTACGTTGCGTCACTGCTTTCATCAACGTCTCATGTTCGGTTTCACTCCATTATGCTACGGACTGAACCGGCAATTCGGCTCGCGGCTGTTCCGATCTTTTGGAAACACAAAATCCACCGACAAAACAAACAAAAAAGAACGAAAGGATAGAAGGGCTGGGCACGGCAAAGGTGAGCCATATCATCCACCAGAGGACAGTTCAATGACATACCCCTCTGAATAACCGGGGGGGGTTGAGAACGCCATTCTATAGTGATAAATTGGTGAACCAACCCCTGGGAACAAAATGCCCCACTATAGAATCTAGCTTTCAACCCTTGTAGTGTACAGCATAGTTTCTCTATAGAATAAAGGGGGTCACCCTTGAAGGCACTAATGTAACAGAATTGTAGGCTCAAAATCTGAATTATCTAATTGAAACTGAGGCGAGGGCATGCAATATTTGGTGTGGAGATGCGATGGGCGACCTTGAACAAGTATGTTTTCGTGGCAGGTCTGGCGCATTGGCAAAGGCAATGCAACTTTCGTGGCCGTCCCCACAAAATAGGTCCTCGTTGGAAACTACACACCCCACTAACCGAAATATGGATTCATGTTCATCCTGATTTGGTTCTTTTCTTTGCAACCACAGAGATATTTCCAGGCAAGAACCCAGCTGCCGGACGTCACCGTGCTGGAAATGAAGCACTCATCCCATCCAATCGTTTTCTGTGCCCGTATCTTACAGCATGTCCAATCGAAAACGGCCGCCACAATGAATTACTTACACGGATCCATAGTCAAAGCCATAGCAAGTCCAACCACCCCGCAGAAAAGGCATAGGGCATCCTGTGGGTAACTGGATGGGCAAGCCCCAAGCCACCAGTGGGCCCTTGCAGGCCGCACGACTAGACCCAGAAGGCAAACCATCCAGGTCTCGCCGAAACTTTCAGTCACTACCTTGCAAAGTATTAACGATTTTGCTGATGCACTCTGCGGGTCTGCTCACACAGTTGACCACACGTCTTGACGTCAGAGGCTGTGTTGCTGTTGAGTTGGATGTTGACATCTTCCCATGACATAGCTTCGTCGTTCAGGATCCGTTTGCAAGCCCCTTCCAAAGTCAGGATTCAACCCCAAGGAGCAGGGGACCTACTCAGGATTATTTTTGT